CTCTCGCTACTTAAACGATTAACCTTAAAATTAAGAAAAAGACTTGAAATGAGAAAAATTTTAATTAAAAAAAAAAAAAAAAAAAAAAATGCACAGCCTAAAACAAAAAGTTCAATATGTATTCTATCACCATGGAAAATTATTTCTTATGTGATATCCACTGGAACTAAATCTCCTTTAAAACTTCAAGCTTTGGTCTAACTTCTCCATGTAAATATGTAATTCCGCAAAAATAACACTTCTCACAATATTTATACATGGAAATATGTATATGCACAAACCATATATTTCTATTTATTTGTAATAGATTCACAAGTTTTAATTTGATGTAATATAAAACTTGTAATGTACACAACATTACTTAATATCCAGTAATATTTTTTATATGTTTAGAATAAAATGTAATTATACAAAAGCAGTTTCATTTGGTTTCATTAGTAACCTTCCTTGTAGTGGATTTTTGATCTATTTAACTTCATTCAGTTGAACTACATATTTATATCAGAATCTTGAAAATTAATTTTTAATAATATTACTCTTTCCAAAGATAAATACACAATATATCATAAAAGTCGCAATTTTTGCTAGAAAAATTTTCTATATTTTATTCTATTATATATTTCTTAGAAAAATGTGATATCTAGATTTAACTTAGGCTGAAATATATAATAGTGATGTCAATTTTATATATACTCTTCATTAATTTATAAATACATTTTTCTTTCTTGACATTCTTATACATTATTATACATGTCTTAAAAAATTATAGCATTAAAGTTTAATATAAAAGTTTAGTTAAAACTATATAGAAATTAAATTGGACTGTTTGCAAATAGACCCTATACACTTTTTACAGTTAATTGCAAGATGATTTATCAGTCAAGGCAGATATTGATTTATTAAAATAAGATATAATTTAATAATAAATAACCAAAAATTAAGATGACAATTGTTGTTTTATTAAAAACACATTACAAGATCATATATTATTATAATATCTCTTTTTTTTATATTACAGAAATATAAATTAACATATCCTCGTTGAATTAAAATGTTCAATACTTTTAAATTAAAAAAAGAAGTACAATAAAATATAATCAAAACAATTAGTATAATTTATCTGCCTCATTATCCTGATATTATGGACTTCCTATAAGACTATATATATAATTTTCAGCTTTAATGATTCAAGACTTAAATTTTAAGTGAACGTTTACAAGAACAAATACTAAATATCAAATTGTTTCAATAAGAATTCAATTTGAATTAAAATGTTTATTAAGAAAACATTTGTTTTATTTTTCAACAAATTAATTCTTAACAATAAAACATTAAAAATTAATCAACCCTAACACATCTGAATGATTGATAAATAATTTCTAAAGGGTATTGAAAGAATATCATCTATATGGAATGCTTCACTGAAGCATTGGAAATGATGTTTTCTTTCATATTTGTTAAAAAAAAGCTGAGTGTGACATCAGTCTCAGCATTAATTATATAAACTATCATGATAATCAGTATTGCACTCTCAAATTTAGTGATAATGAGTTTAAGGAGTTTAAACAGGCCTCTATGATACTAAAACTGGTGACAGGTAATATGGCCCCAAAGTTTTATTAGGGAAAGCTATTTTCTATTAAAGACAAAGTAATTTGATGAATAATAAATAAAATAATTTTTAACTTCATAAACTAAAGAGAATAGTTTTTACCAAAATTAAATAAATAGTAAAGTAACATAAAAAATGAAATAGATACATAGAAAAAATTTTAAACAAAAGATACAATAGATGAAAATCAAGATGTTAAGAAAAATAGTTTATTTATCAACATCACTAAAATATGAAAAAGTAATATAATAAGTCAGAAATGAATCTCTTGTAACAAAATTAAGAGAATAAGTCTTTGAGAAATAAAATCTTTCACAAAAGAATGACTAGTATGCTGGAAAGAGCTTAGTTAACATTACATTTATATTTATGGGAAAATTTGAAAATTAACAAAACAACTGATAATAAGAATGGAAATAGCAAATTACATATCAGTCAACAATAACAATAATGCATATGAAAATATTCAGTCAATTATAATAGACCATAGAAAATGTAGCAAGTAATGTTTTCAAAATTTTTCAATTTTATCCTGTCACTAATGAATAAATTTATTTTATTCTACATGAGTCCTGTTTTTAAGTGTTTTATGAATATGATATATTCAACAAAATACAAATCTTCTTAACATGCAAATATTATGTTTAAAAAGATATTTAAGTATAAATATTTTGAACCGATCAAATGCTCTGGCAGTTAAATGCTTTATTCTTAATATTTACGTCATTTATTTTAAATCTTAAATTATCAAATCTTCGATAATATAATCCATGGTGAAAGAATTACAAAATTTTCTGACAGAGTAATTATATTACTTCTGACTAAATAAAAACTTATACTTGTTAATTTAAGTATTGTCATTTTAGCAGTAAATCATTTTTTATAATAATTTTATATAAAATTATGGAAATAATAATTATGAAGTTAATAAATTTATGTAGGCTTAACATCCAAATTAGCAGACTCTATGCTATATGCATTTTTTTCAGAATAAAAGGAAAACAAGTATTTGGTTTAACATTGGTATTTGTCAAAAAGTATCATCTATGATACGAAAGAATAGTAGTAACCCAAAGAAGCCGTTGCCAAATCCAACGTGGTATTCTGCAAGGTCCAAGACTAGCCATTGCACTGGCTATATGACGCAACCAATCGCGAATACCTCGTGGTGCATGTCCCCCATTGACATAAAGGACATAAGTAAAACCATCTTTGCATTTGCCATGAATTACATAATAATATGGTAAAAAACTATGTAATCGAAAGTGACATCTCTGATAGAACAATATAGCTGGTGCATTGCTGGATAATACATGCAGGAAGACTGCTTTTACGGAAGAACGTTCTGGAGCAGTGACATGTGCTAATAATTGTTCCAATAATAATGATGCAATTCCATTTCTTCTATATGCGCGACGTACACCTAAACTAAGAATATAACCCACTAAACAATCATTTCCTAAACTTGAACACAAAATACCACGATCTTCTGTGTTTAATTTTGCATAAGGCTTTATTTCTGCGACAATGAGTCCAATTATTACTCCACCATATACAGCTGCAAGTGCATAAAACCGTGAGGAACTTGTTATATCTTCATACCACGAATAAGGATAATCTATGACAAAATAAATTAATACTTTAATATAAGTATTAATATGATTTTTAATACAAGATGAATAATTTATAGAACTAATTTATAACAACATGCATAGTTATATTAAATTTATAAATCTTGCACTATTTGACAAAATAATTTATAACATATTTATTAATTAATCCTTTATGGCTTTATTCTAATTCAAAGATATAGGTGTATGTAGTATTATTTTTATTGCATTTAAAATAGAATATTCTAAAATTTATATTTTGTCATAAATATGTTACATCATATTTCATTAGAAAATAAATAAAATATGGTAACATACTTAAATTTATGTAATAATTATCAAATACACCTTATAATTAAATGGATATAAAAAGTTGCATTATTAATTTATACTCAATCTTTTTTTTAAATTAATACTAGCTATCAATTTCATTTTAATTATATGAAAATAAAACAATAAAACTTATTATTAAATAAAAATTATCAAACTATTAGATTTAAACTATAAACAAATATTTGCTTATTAAATAGTGGTAATATATACTGATAAAACACAATAATGATCAAGAAATATTATTTATATAAGTTATTACTATCATATATAGTCTATATGGAAAAAAATATTATAAAAAATGTTTCATAGA